AGTTACACTTATTAAACTTCCTTTTAGGCATATCCCCAAAACCCCCTCAGCCATGCTAACGCCCCCCCCACCACCACCACCACCACCACAAGCAGGAGCTGAAGGAGGCGTCGGAGCAGAAAGGGACACTGGTGTAAACTAACTGCAGTGAAAATATCTCACTTCTGCAAACTTGACAAAAACTCAGGCCTGTGTAAACAGTGTTTACTCGCACGGCCTAAGATGAGCTCATACAAGTGAAGCATCCCAAGGCCTTATCACTTGGATGTAAAACCTGTATCTGGAGCCAAATACTATTAAGATCTTTACAAGAAAATTTTTTTAATCTATTGAGGTATAAATCGCGTGCCATCATATCCGAAATGAATAAATATTAGTATATGTACAAGGTTGGGCATCACCACTATCGAACTCCAGAACCTTGAAAAGGAGCCTGGGACTTGTTAGCCGCCTTTCACTTTCCTCTCTACCAGTTTCTATCAAACACGGCAGCAGCCAGGGTTCTCCAGAGAGACGGAACAGAATGGAGATTTATTATGAGAGACTGGCTCGTGCAGTTATGGGGACAGGGCTCCCACACTCCGCCGCCTGCAGGCTGGAGGCCTCAGGGAGCTGGGGGTGAAGTTCCAGTTCAAATCTGAAGGCCAGAGAGTTGGGAGCTGGTGCTGTGGGTTCCAGTCCGAACGCAAAGGCCCGAGACCAGTTAGTGCCCGATGCGAGCTCGCCTCTCCTCCCCGCTCCTTCCCGCGTCTCTATCTTTGCAGAGTCTCCCCCTCGCATTGGACTCATCTCCACGCCGTTCACGCTCCACCCTGCTGTCATAAACATCTTTTAAAAATTCAAATTTGTCCAAACTATCAGAACTCATAGGCAATATTAAGAATTCCCATCGTGGCCTTCGCGGCCAGCTATAGTTTGGTTTCCAATGAGCTGCCCACCCGCACTACTACTTGTTTCCACGTTTTGTGTGGCTTTTGGACTGTGGGCGTCCCTCGGGCGGTGCCAGCGGCCATCCCGCTGACAGTCCACGCGCGCCCCTGCTAAGGGCCGTCCCCTCCACAGCCTCACCGGACGCTCCTCCCTGGGGCCTGGGCCTGGGCCACCTGGGTTTATGAACAGTCTTCTGGGCTACGACTCTCACAAGGAAACAGTTCTCTCGTTTTATTTCCTCTAGCTGGGGAAATGCTCTTTTCATGGCAAAAATGCTGCTTCCCAGCCCTTCCCAGCCCTTCCCAGCGCTTCCCAGCGCTTCCCAGTCCGCCACGGGCTCCATGGCAAGCGCACTGCACCCCTGGGTCCCCACACGGGATGGGTGCGCGGCCCGAGGCCTGTCAGAAAGTCTCCTCCGGTTATTCTGGCCTGTAATTTGGTCAGATAATTTCTCCAGTTTTCTTTCCTGGCCTTTTCTAACACTCTCCTCTAGGAAGCCAGGCCTCTGTCCCCACTTGCTGGAGACCTCTCTGTACCTTCTGAAAGCCCGTGCCTCGGCTCGCACCTCGCTTCCCAGCCCTCGCTGTTCAACTCCCTGCCTCCATCGCACCAGAGCCCCCCGGACACTCCGCTTGTACTCTCAGGATCGACTACAGCGTCTGGAACACAGGATGCACTCCGTTTATGTGGATTAAGTGTACAAAGAATATACTTTCAGTTGAACACACAAAAAAGCACTCATCTAGAAACATACAATTTATTACCTTAAAAAAAAACACTGCTTATTCTTTTTTTGCGTTTTTTCCTATCAGAAAACGTCATAAATTCAAATGCTCATTTTTTAAATATCTTTACTGTTTGCTTAATTACGAACTGCAGAGAAACTAATTTGGGTGACTGTGATCTTAGGAAAGAGGCTCTTTACACTCAGTAATGTGAGTCATTAATTAGACATTTCATGCATCCCAAGTACTAACTAGGAAAAAAAAAAAAACAAGGAACAAAAACTAACACCAGATTCTGGTTTTGTTAAAAGAAAAAGTTCAAGGAATCTGTATTTAATCAAAACATACAAAACAATCTCCAGATACTGTCTGGCAACAAATTTAGGATTTGCAGAGCTGAAATGTTGATTTGCTTAGCCATAAATATTACCTTGATGAAAGACAGCCCTAGGCCTGTCTTCTACCACTTTCTGCCTGATAAGAAAGTTACCACTGCTTGTGTTTTCCCAGGAACCCATTAGATCTAACCTTTCTGGAAACATCCAGAAAGACATAATTATTCAACATGAAAAGAGTGACACCGATTTTACAAAGAAAATGCCTACGAAATAAGGGTGCAGAAAAAGGAGAGAGAGGAAACAAGGACCAGAATGACAATTTTATTCAAATCTAAGGCCTAATTCAGCAGTCTTATGGAAAAAAAACAACACCGCTTCTTTTTGATGTCAATGAGAATTCTCAATTCCCAAGCTTGGGCACTGAGCCCACCCTGTCATATGTTTGCTAAAAGAAAAAACATTCTTTCCCAGGCATCTGCCTTCCTTTTGCTCCATTTTCACGGCAAGCTGTTTCAAGGTGCTTCGTCAAAGGCTTCTCAAAGCCGGCGCGCTCTAAAAGCCACCAGTCTGATGGCTGATGCAAGTGTCACAAGAGAGTTTTTGCATCTCTACTTCAATAGCGATCCTGAAAAGCCAACAACTGGGAAACAGCACGATTCATCCTCTGCACATGCTATCGTGTGTATTTAACTGTCGCCCGCTGAATTCTGTAGAAGCACCTATTCAAAAGCTCCCAAAATATGCAAGTGCCATTCTGCAGAAACAGTAAAAACAAAAACAAAAAACTGAGTCATGATAAATTTCATGCTTCGCTTTCTTTCATTTATGGAAATTGAGAGTTTAACTGTTACAAATAGTCACATTTCTATTCACATTATGTGAAAACTCGTACGTTAAGTCCTCAGCTCTACACAACTCCCTAGAAATGAGTTATTCGGAACAGCTGAGTGTTCCAGATGGCTTGGGGTTAACTCGCTGAGTTCCAGGTGTAGTGTAACAAATATCTCCAAAGCAGACCAGGTTTTATCTGCCTAAAGTTTCTCAGGGCTGCTATAGAATAGTGTTTCCCCCTAAAACTCATGCATTGAAACCTAAGCCCGATGTCACGGTATTTGAAGGTATGACCTTTGGCAGGTCCTTAGGTCACTGAAGCAAAGTCCTTACGAATGGTCTCAGTGCCCTTACAAGAGAGACCGTCTGCCACGTGAGGGCACCGTGTGAACATGCCCATCCACAGAGCAGGAGGCAGCCTCTCACCAGGCCGAATCTCCTGGCTCCTTGACCTTGGACTTCACAGCTTCCAGAGCTGTGGGGTTTGTTGGTATAAGTCACCCAGCACGTGGCATTTCGTTACAGCAGCTCAAACAGACTGAGGCAGGCTAGACCGCAAGGCGCCCCTCCCGCAGGTTGGTAAGCACAAGGTATCTGTAGCAAGTCCCTTTCTACTTGTTTCAGGTAGACACAGAGGTTTCTGTTTTCCTGATAGGACCTGGAGAGATCAATTATTTCTATAGTAAATCAGAGGAGATGAAAACTGAGAAAATTTGATATATTTATCATTTTTCTATGTGGATCTCTCAATTAGGCAAAGAGTAGGTACTTATTAAGTATTCCTTGAATCAATTTTAACTCACTCGAGGAACAGTATTTGGATACATTCAGAATATGGGAGAGAAGACCACAGAAGATAGTTTTAAAGGAGAGAAATAAACCCAGTTTTTAGAAATATCAAATCAACACAAGACTCCAAGAGGGCGGCGAATCAAGTGGAAGCTACGCTGACGTCCTCCCAGGCCCACACTGGAATGACAACGAAACTAGAGAAAAACCATCCTGAATGACCAGCTGACGACAAGCTGGAGACACCCTCATGGCCAAGCACAGAAAAAAAAGAGGTCACATCAAGACGGGCAGGAAGGTGGATGCCCGAGCGGCCTGGCGGGGCTCCCACAGGCAGCAGCTGAAGGCCCGAGGGAGATCTCAGCTGCGGGGGCTCCCACTGAGGGCTCCGGGGCCTACACCCCGGGCGGGGCTCCCCAGCCCAGAGCGCAGACCTGAGACGGGGGCCCACGTAACACCTGCTGTGAAGAGCAGCCGGGTTTCTGTCTGCCAGGGAGAGACGGCTGGGAGGGCAGACGCCCTTTTAAACGGCCAACACACAAAATTCGGGGTGCACCACTCACCTTGTCTCCAGCAGTGGGAGGCAGAGTGGCCTGGACGGTGTGAGGAGAGTCCAGGGCGGTGGCTCTGGGGAGAGCTGAGAGGACAGCCGCGGGGTCCCTGTGCTGAGCCACTGCCCCAGATGGCAGCGGACGCCTTTCTCGGGCAGGCCTTTCCCATCAATGCAGCGTTAGCCTGGGGGGAGTAACTGCCCCGCCTGCTGGAAACCTTCCTGGCCCCACCTGGGGGGTTAACGCCCTGCTGAGCTCTACAGCCTGAGGCTCCTTAAGTGACTGAGACCATCCGTCAGCCTGCAGGCAGGGGCGGGTCTCTGGGTGCTTTGACTCTTGGCCTGACCTGCCTCTGGGCCTGGGCTAGGAAAAGCGGACCTTGGCTTGCAAGGACTTGGGGGTAGAGGAGGGGGGTGGACAGGGTCAAAGGGGGAAAAAGGGGGGACATCTGTAATACTTTAAACAATAAAGAAACAATGCTATATAATGTTTTCATTTTGGTATTGTTGAAATAACAAAGCTCACAAAAAGAGAAATATGAACTTATAAGTAAACACCTATTTTACATTTTAATATTTTATACTAAAAACAAATCTCATAATATGGACAGGCCTTTGCGAATTTACTCAAGATTTTTTCCAGATTTTATACTCACTAAATAAATGATAGGCTGTCTTACTACTACTCAGAACTGGAATATTATCAACTTATAATAATGTATTCATCTAGGTATACCATTTTTTATAAATTAAAAAATCCTGTTAAGAGGTGTAATCAAACCTACATTGTGTTCTGTGTGCAGAAAGGTTTTGTTAATTGAAATTATCTTTGCTTACCCTCCTGAGTTGATAAAATGTGGCTAACAGTCATCACACTCTTACAGCCCACAGTTGCGAAAATACGGTTGCTAGGATACCTTCATTATTTCATTGCCCTGTTACACCAGCCTATCAATTAATAAAAAACATTCAAGTTAATTCTCAGTCATATTTATACACATTCTTAGCATATGATTTCCTTTATCTCCAAGTAACATTTCTCCCTTTAGCTTTCACCTTTTACTCCAAAAAACATTAAACACGAGGTTATCACATCAGTTTACAAACTACAGCAATGACGCCTGTCTCCTACTTAACCTTTCTATTACCTTTCCATCGTGGTGAAAGTCCTTACAGCAAATATCCATGCACAGAGTAAATTATTTTTTCTACTTCTCAAATTTATTTCCAAGAAAATTGATGCCTGGGAGAAAAGATACATGTACCAAATTGATATGTTTAAGTTCTTTTCAGTTCTAAGGAAAAATATGGAGCAGGAAATACCTTTGAAAATCACTCCTGCATCTTTACATATTTATAACTATTGCCAGGTTACCGCTTTACATTTTAGGGTTAGATTTACAGAAGGTGCCTGATATGGGCTCTTCTAAATACGTATTTTATGAGTATTATGTTGCGGTAAAAATCGCAACCTGCTACCTTGAGTTACCACTTGTCAGGGCATTATAAAAATAAAAACAATAAATGAAAATAAAAATCTTTGATATGATAAATTTATCTCACTTATTCCTGTTCAATTCAGTACTTATTAATCCCAAGTAATGCTACCTAAATAAAATAAATCACATTATTTTTTCAAAAACCAAGAATGCAACATGTTCTGAAAATTGTCTGGAAGAAGAGGAAGTATTGACTCTAATTATGACAATATGTAAATATAGAAATTTTCTCAAGATTTCACTTAGTTTTGACATGTCATTTAAAAATCTGAGTTTTAAAAGTATGGTTAACCCACTATACAGGAAAACTGAGATAGAAACATCAATGATGAGAGTCATTGATCGGCTGCCTCCTGCACGCCCCCTGCTGGGGATCGAGCCCACAACCCCGGCATGTGCCCTGACCGGGAATCGAACCCTGACCTCCTGGTTCATAGGTCAACGTTCAACCACCGAGCCACGCGGGCCAGGCGAGTGCTAATACTTAAGCTCTCATAAAGCTGTCTCCACAAGGTCTCAAGATTCCCCTCACTATTCTCTGAGTCTGTGTATTCAAGAGGCAGTGCCCGAAATTTAAACCTATTTTGGCAAACTATTTCACACCGATGGCATTCTTATTCAGACTCTGGGCTTAAAAGATACTAAAAATGGCTCAGAATTTGGGTAAAGATAACTGGGACCTTCTTCTTATTGTTCTCTGGGGAAGCGTAACTTTTAAAAGCAGTAATTTACTCAGCAAGCAGAATGGGAATAAATAAACTCCCCAAAGTACGTTTATTAGGAAACATAACATTGTGAGCGTGCATAGCTCAGAACCAGGGGCCTTTCTTTTATGTAAACAACGAAGACGCTGCTTTCCTGGTGGAGGGGGAGATACTTGGCTGCAACAGACAGCACAGCACCATGAGTCCACTGATCTGAAACTGGACTATGCCCGGCCGGCATGGCTCAGTGGTTGAGCACTGACCCATGAACCAGGGGGTTACAGTTCGATTCCCGGTCGGGGCACAGGCCCAGGTTGTGGGCTCGGTCCCCAGCAGGGGGCGTGCAGGAGGCAGCCCATCAATGACTCTCATCATTTGATGTTTCTCTCTCTCTCTCCCTCTCCCCTCCTCTCTGTGAAATCAATAAAAACATATATATATTTTTAATTATTAAAACTGGACTGTGGGCCTGCAGAATACCCTTAGTCCCACACTGAGATACGGTGACCTACTTTAGGAACGTTAGGGAGTAGCTGTGAGAGTGAAGAACTACAGGATGTGAGTCTAAATTACAGAAGGCAGTTTTACAGCTCTCCACATATTAATATAAGTTTTGTTCTTTTTAATCCCTCTTTGGGTCACTTCTCACATGTAAAATCTATTACAGAGAATATAACTAGATGTATTCTGCTCCTTGAAAGTTCATGGTTTGCAGCTAAACAGATTAAAAAAATAAAGAAATTTAAAAATGTAAGCTTAGCCCGGCCGGGCGTGGCTCAGCGGTTGAGTGTCAACCTAGGATCCAGGCGATCAGGGTTCGATCCCCAGTCAGGGCACAGGCCTGGGTTGCGGGCTCGATCCCCAGTCGGGGGCGTGCAGGAGGCAGCCAATCAATGACTCTCATCATTGATGTTTCTCTCTCTCTCTCCCTCTCCCTTCCTCTCTGAAATCAATAAAGATATATTAAAATAAATAAATAAAAATAAAATAAAAATGTAAGTTTAAAAATATATTACGCTAGAAAAAAATGCTAATAGTCACAAATTTCACGATTATTTTATTTAAAATTTATACAGCACAGACAAAAGCCCTTTAGATTCTTTCAGGATTTCTGAATTCCTCATTACCAGCTCTTCAAAAAGTTCAGAAGTATTTTAGCATTCAATCAGGCCTTCCATTTTTAAGATGAAAAAAAATAAAGCATAGAAATTTTATTTAACTTTTACGTTCCCATACTTATTCAGCAATATAGTCGGGACTCAGGAAACACCTTAGGGTTCCCGACAGTGCACAGGTATGAATTCCGTAGCCCACACTAGACTCGATGGAATTGTAAGTATAACTATTTTCCTTCGTCGTTTTCTGCCAACACTTGAAATGAATTCAGCTGCAGTTGCATTTGCAGCCTGGTGACAGCGTATAGAAGCACAAAATTCAGAGGTCATTAGGAGGAACAGTATGATGTCCTGCAACATTTATTCTAGTTAAGTTCTCTACTGCTTTATTAGACCAAAAAAAAAAAAAAAAATGTTATTTACTGTTCTGCAGTATTTGGCCATGTCATGACTTCTTGCTTCGAAAAAGTAATTCTTAAGTCATACATAAGCATGTTTTTTAAATTGATCTTAGAGAGAAAGGAAGGGAGAGAGAGACACACACATCGATGTGAGAGAGAAACATGGGTTGGTTGACTCCCATACACTCCCCGACCAGGGATTGAACCCGCAACCCTTTTTGGTATACGGGAGGATGCTCCAGCCAACGGAACCACCCAAACCAGGGCAAACATGTTGTTTTTTTAAAAGTTCTACCTGTTATTCAAGTCAGAAAGAAACATGAATATTCACTTGTCATTCATTTGAAATCCCGAAATATGGACTTAGTGTAGCTCAAGTCTTATTGTTTTACAACATGTTTGTGAGAACATAATGAAAGAAATATTATTCATTTAATTTGGGAGAAGTGGCTGCCACATTTTGGTGTGGCATGTGGCCTTTTTATGTACACAAAGATGCCCTGCCATGTCCCAGCTCTTTAGCACTGGCATGTCACCTGGCCTGTGGCATCTCACTTCTCATATGCTGGCACTTGTGTTGTGGCCAAACTAACCCGTGGAAGCCAAAGCCGGGAAGCAGGTGGAGCACACGCTTGACAGGGACCGGAATGGGGGCCACATGCTTCTCAAGTGCTGTAAACGCCGGGGCTTGTTTGGAAATTCTGCCTCCTGGTTACAGTAAACAAGACTTGAGAGAGCAGAGAAACTTCGCAACCTCGTCTACAGGAAGAAATGTCAGGAATCGACTTAAGCTATTAGTCACACGCGGGAGAATTCTTCACATCTCTGGTCACCGTGGCGCCCCGAGGACAATGCACTACAACGTAAGGCAACCTAACGTCTCACGGCGTGGTACATAAAACAACACGCATGTCACATGATGATCGGTCATAGTTCTAAAGTTCAGAGTCAACACTGGCGGGTATTACCACCAAGTGCATATTAAAACAACATAGCTTTTGAGTTTTGAACAATAACCTCAAAGATGAATGTGTAATATTTTTGTAGGGAAAGATTAAACTATAACATAGCATAATGATTACCTTTCATCACATCTCTACAGCACCAAAAAGTGCCATAATTTGTCTCTTCCATCTTGAGAGAGAGAAGAAATATTTATTGTTCAGCTACTGTGATATTTATGAAGTGAAAGGAAGTGTTGGCCTTGCTGGGATCTGCCTACTTGTTCCATTCCCATTAAAACGTACTCCAAATTTTTCTTTTGGACTTCCAAGAAAATTACTCTCTTGGGCACCAACATGTATCAGATGCTTGCCAAGCATTTCACATATATATATATATTTTTTTAAATCGGCCCTGTGTCTCAGCTTGAGTACCTTGCTCAGGGTGATAAAGTGAAGCAGCAGAAAAGGAAGATTCCAGCCCAGTTCTGTCCATTTCCAAAACGGGGGTTATTTTCACTACAACAATGCGACAGTTAGAGTACCTGAATTTCAAAAATCCATTCCGACAGGAAAATTGGTATTATATATTCATGTATTGCTCCTGCAAGCTCCTCTGAGGAGCAGTGCAGACGGCAGAGTGCCTGGGGTTTTCAGGCGTCCACGCGAGGCCGTGAGCCGCGGACCCTTCGCACATCCATTCCCGCGGGAAGGCCAGCTCCAGTTCGAGCAGGAACAGGGTCCTTTAGATTTGTTCGTTCCACTGACAACTCCTTCCCAGTAATGGGCGCTGGTTCTTTTTGTGTGTTTTTTTAATTTATTTTTTAATATATTTTTATTAAAGTATAGTTGACATGCAATATTATATTGGTTTCAGGTGTACAGCATAGTGATTGTACATTTCTATACCTTACGATGTGACCGCCATGGGAAGTCTAGTAACCATCTGTCACAGCACCAAGTTATTACGAGATTATGGACCGTTCCCTGTGCCGTACGTTATATCCTCGGGACTATTTACTCTATAACTGGAAACTTGCACTTCACCCAGCCTCCAGGCCCCCTTGGTTCTTATGTTTCGATTTTTTATATACTGCCCAATTTTGTGTTGTGTTAATTCCAACTAAATATGAGATGTTTTTTAATGGATCCCATAGAGTGGTGTTTCGTTTTTAGTTGAAATCTACTTTTCTGTAGTGATCAAATAATTTTGCCTGCACCATTATTACTTTGGGAACTTGAGTTTTTGTTCTGTTGCCTAATAAAATGGTCAAATTTTGTTACTTTT